AGGTTGATTTGATGCCCAAATTGATCATCTAAACATCAAAATGCATGGACTTGAGAAAAAAATAGATCTCAAGTTTTGGAAATAGTGCATCTCTTAACACATTTTTTGACAGTCAATTTTCAAGTTTTCATATATGTGCTCGATCTACACTATTTTTGAAGATTTAAAGTTTATAATTAAAAACGAAAAATATATTTTAAAGCTATCACAAAGATTTCCAATATTAAAAACATATTCCTCGACGCTATTTGAAGGTGCACTTTACTTAGATTGTTTAGAGCCTTGGCTCTATATAAACTGCACCGTATTCTTATTAGATTAATTTCTTATTAGATTAAGTTTGACTGGAAGGAGTAAATGGATATTATACACTTGCTGGGCGTATAATATTTTTGGCAAAAGTGTATGTAATTTTTGTACGAAAGGTTTTTACAAGGTCCAACATAAAAAAATAAATAAATAAAAAGAAAGAAATAAAACAAGGTAAAGCAAACATATGGGGGATATTAAAATTATATAAGTTTTGGCACTCGGAAATCCGCCGAAAGGTGAGGTTGTGTATTGGAAAACATTTAAATTGATCATCTCTAATTTAGTACTCATATGGAAAAAATAAAAATAAAAAGTTAAATTCATCATCTCTAATTTAGTATTCATATGGAAAAATAAAAAATAAAAAGTGTGCTGTAACATATTATCTGAACCGCCCATTTACACGTTTGCACATATTTGCCGGGCTTTTTTAATCTGTAAACTTCATAATTAAGAGCAAATATAAATTTTCAGGCCATCATATGAGTTTTCAGTACAATAACTATACTTTTGAACAAGGTTTTGAGGTGAGGCTTTATTTAAATGTGAAACCTCTACCTTCTGTTGATCACACCTGTATGGGTAAATATTTTGTAAGATGCGGTTTTATAATGCTAATTTTTTTTGTTGGAATATTTTTTTAGTGGTGCAACAATAAGCGGCTTTATAAAGTTGTACCTCAAATTTTACCAAGAAAAACAACTCAGATGCTTAGAGACCACAACTTTATCATCTTGGTCTCGACGATCATAAATCTAAAATAAAAAAAGTGATTATAAACTCCAAAAGTATTCTATCTTGTAATACATTTTTTGAACCATCTATTGCAAATTTTGCCAATCAACTACCCCATAATAATAGAAGTCAATAAAATTCCTTGGCCATTACAAACATTTTTGGGGTGGCATGTTGTAAGACCATTTACTTATAATACAAGAATGGCACAATCAAGCCTAACCAATTAGATGTGAAATTCAATTACTTGGGGTATATCACACATCTCAAATAATTATCTTTTGTACTTTGAGCCAGGTCGATGGCAAACTCCCGACTAGCTAATTTCACATCCAACAGCAATTACGTAACCTCTTCATATTTAAAAATCAAATAGTTCCATCCTATACAAAGTTTTTAGCCCCGAAACTACCATTGAGATGTTTCAAGGTATGACAATATGTGTAAACCTTGTGAAAACTGCACCCCTAAACTATTAATAAAATTATAAATCCAAGAATAAAATTCAAATTCAAATTCAAATTTAATAAAATAAAGAAGGTATCGTGAGTGACTAGAGTGCGAATAATGTCTAAGAGAAGGTGAACATAAATTCCCATTAGTGGGCAACATGTTTGTCCATGTAATATGATAATAATATAACTTAAAATGGAAACATGAATGAGGTGTACCTCATAATTGATCGTGCCCACATTTATTAAAGATAAATATAAAAAAGTATCTAAGACACGAACTATTTAACTTTTCAGTTATTTTTTTATTTAATTTTAAGAACCCCGTCAAAAGGCCCAATCATGAGTTGCACTAGTGATTTTAAGGGGAAATTTTTCAGTAGACACCTCACATTTTAACTATTTAACATCTTGTTAACCTACCACTATTCCATATCAACATCACGTGCATATTGATGGGTATTTTGAAAATAATTCAAAAAATATAGGAAAATTGTTTAGTAGTTTATCTCACAAGTACATTTTAATAAATTTTCCTATTTCAAGAGTTGATATTATAAGGGTAAAAGTTTATATAGAGTCGAGGCTCTAAACAATCGAGGTTGAGCCTATCTCAAAAATTTCGTTAGAAGAGGTTGTTTTAATGCTCAAATATCTTCAAATCCATCATCTCAACATCAAGATGCATGGACATGAGAAAAAAACGGATTTCAAGTTTTGGAAATAGTGTATTTTGTAATCTTTTTTTGGACCATCAATTTTCAATATTTTCAAGTTTTCATAGATCTATCGATCTACACTTTTTTTTAATCTTTAAAATATATTTGAAGGCAATCACAGATATTTTCAGTGTTGAAATACATTTTCGATACTATTTGAAGGTAGGTTCTAATTTGATTGTTTTGAGCCTAGGCTCTCTCTCTCTCTGTATATATATATATATATAAGTAATGATCCTATAGGACCCTCTCTCATCTATGTGTGTAGGACTCTAAATTATCGTTATTAAATTTGTTATGGATCTTTGTAAAAGTTATCACATGAGTGTAAAACTTTATTTTTTTAGAGATCCGTGTCAAATTTAATAATGATCATTTAGTCCTACACACATTGGTGGAAGATAGTTCTATAGAATCATTATATATATATATACACATCGATATATTTCTCTATGAAAACTAATCATATGTGATTTTGTATTGAGAAAGATGGGGGTTGTCTGTTGGGACTTGGGATAAATGTGTGTATTCCACGTGCCATTTGATAGAGAGAGAGGTGGGGGGAAAATTACATGCATTCCATTTTTTTTGTCAGGCTGTGTTTGTTTGGATGGAACTTTTAGGTAGCAGGAGACAAAAGTTCTATCAAATGGTCTCATATGTCTGTTGTGCGCTTATGGAAGCCACACGATAGAACCAATGGCTTCCACAAACGCACAAAACATCTTTTGACGCTGTCTTAAAGAAGATGGCCCTTTTTTTTTAAGACATAGAAGGGGTGGTTTCCATACTTTGCGAGACTGCCGGCTTCCACAAATAAACATATTATTAAAATTAAATTAAATCTTTATAGAAATGAAACCCTAGACGTCATGTGGTATCAAAAATGTAGTACAAAATTACATGGGACAGAGGCCATTTCTGTATGTATTGTGTGGAAGCTCATGACGATCTCTCTCCCCTGTTTCCTCGACTTGTGTGATGAGGGCAAAATTTTACCTCTCACTAGAATCTCTCACTCCATATCTTCAATTATAGAAACTTTTAAAAGTTATACAACAGAATATAAGAAATTGGTGCAAATGACCAATCATAAATATTGAGAGAATCTGTGTTTCAAAATTCGGATTGGTGGAATGGATCGATATTAGGATTGAAATAAATTAGAGATCTAACAATAATATAAGAGTTATGGGGAAAGGACTTAGAGGGACCTAAAAAAATATTAGACAAGCATAAAAAATAAAATATGAAATATCATTTGAGTTTTTCCAAATATCGTAAAAAAATTGCATTTTTTAATAGAACCGATATACATTTGTATTTTATATTTCTTTCAAAAAACTTAAAAAATAAAAAAACCCTCTTCCTTATAATTGTATTTTTGCATTCATTTAATATCTTTAAATTTTGATTTAGAGATAAGCACATTAAAACTATAAATAAATTAAGAATCTTGATTTAACAAAATTTTTCACCAATATGGTTCTTAAAAAAGAAGTGCAATATATTCTCCAAAAAAAAAAAACCTACTAAAACAGTAATATATCTCAAGATAATAGTTAGAACTAAATGAAGAATAATCTAATGATTTTCTCTTTCTCTCTCTCTCTAAATATAGAGAGTCATTGCAAAGAGAAAGAGAGAAATCCGATGACAAATATAGATTTAGGCAACTAGAATTTTAGCGTGAGCTTTGGATATTTTGTTGCTTTTTTTTTTGCATACAAAAGTTTGATTAATTTCATCTTTTTATTTTTTATAATTTCACTCGTATATACAACGTATCAATTTGGGTGGACCACTATTTTACATTTATAGGTTTTTGTGTTTTAATTAGTTGTAATTCAATAACGGAGGTCATTTTACTTTTTTTTTTTGAACAATGGTCCCATCCATTGGGTTACTGTTGATGTTGTTTGCTAATGTAGTTATTATGTTCAGAATTGTTGTTTTGTATTATTGTATATTCCCAATAAATCTATCACATATTTTGTATTGTGACAACAAAGTAAACAATGTTGATGTATTTATTGAAAGTTTAAAAAAACAATCGTCAAGTGTGACTCTAATAATAACAAGCAAAGTATGGTTCAATGGTTTTAAATTAGGAAAATGGTTTAATAGGGCTGCAACCCTTATCAAAATAAGTAAAGCCTCACCTCATCACTAATAAAATATTGCAAATTAAAGTGTTGAAAAACCTTTAAATTGATCATCTCAATTTGAACATTTTGATTGTGTAAAAAAAGTTAGGATTTCAAATTCTAAGAAAAAGAATTATATTGCAACAAATCATGTAGACCATCAATTTCACCCTAAAAATAATTGTTCATAGATTCATAAGATTTTTACCCTTTTTTTGTTTCATTGTTAATATTAAAAATTAATTTTAGAGCTATCACGAAGATTTCCGATACCGTAAGTCCTTTCCGAATGATAATTTCAAGTGAGCTTTTATTTTGTTTTCATAAAGCCGAGGCCCAATAGAAACTTCATCCTTTAAATTATCCATATTCACTCTTTTTGTTTGAGCTTAATCCCAAATATTTACGACTCGCTAGACTTATCTAATTTTTTTTTATATTCTTGAAAATAACCTAATATTAGACATCTGACTTTTTGGGGCAAAAGCGATGTATTACCGATATTTTGATTTACCGATACATCGTTATTGCTGACTATGATCATGACCACTTAAAATACTAGGGGCGGGCATCAGAGAGCTATTAATTAGGCTGAAAGTTCAAAAGAAAACAAATAAAAGCGGCAAAAGGTTGAAAGTTGAAAACTGAAACGGCAGGCCCGAAAACGAATGATTAATTTTTGCGAATCCACCATTTTCGAAGAAACGTCTGGTCATGAGCTTTAGAGAGAGAGAGTTTCTGGATTCGAGTTTAGTGAGAGAAAGTTTTCGGATTCTATAATGATTTCAACTTTCAAGCACATGTTTCTGGTACGAGATTTCTCCCTCTTTTTATGTTCTAATGTAAATTTTACTCCTTAAGCTGAAAATTAAGCGATGAAATACTGAGTTAAATCAAAGTTAGTGTATTTTTCTATTGATCAACTGCGTTTTAGATCAATTCCTCTTTTGAGCTTCTGTTTTCTACTTCAATTGGAGACAAATTTAGGGTTTGATTCGTGCGAAGCAGGATGCTATGCATTACCAGCCCAAATGTAAGATGAATTCAAGGATAAACTGCTGTAACTACAACGTCTACTACTTATTGGTAGTTAATGTTGGACTATGTATCTTAGCATTTCACATGGTACGAGTGTTAGAAACCCTGATCACAAAAATTGACGTATTTGAGATGACAAGAGTGTTAGAAATGCTGATCGCAAAATTGGCATATGAGGTGCGACATGTCCATACATACACCATTTTAAGAAGGGAAGAAGTTGGAGTTTTGGTGATATTAAGTACTTTTAGTATGGTTTTAATGTGAGACTTTAAGACAAATTGCCGGGTTTCTATAGTGGGAGACGTAGGTGATGTGTCCTGGCATGTTGCAAAAAGTCATGGATAAATGTGTCCATGTTGCATAGGATCACTACAGATTGAATTTTGGTAGGTTGCGGCTTTATGCTGAGTTTTAGAGAGCACAATGTTTGATAAATGTGACTTGGCAAAGGTAAAGCTGCTACATAGCTGGCATTTTTTAAGTGAATTTAGGGCTCATTGTGATTTTATAGTTGTTATGGCAAATTCGATGTGAATGTTGTGTTATAAGGTTTAAGTCGTTGCTATATGTATCTAAAATAGTTTTTGATGCTATGTCCACGGACTGTTCATAGATTTCTCAGTGACAACTATTATTTTTTGCAAAATCACTTGATAAATTCAACAATTGATGGCAGCGATAACTCTCAGTATTATTGTATTGATGTAGTTTGTGATCTCTCCCGCATGGTGCATGAACTCTGGATACATTTGATCATTTGTAAGAAGAATAGTTTTCAGTGATAACTATTATTTTTTGTAATATCACTTGATAGATTCAACAATTGATGGTGGCAATATTTCTTAGTATTATTCTATTGATGTAGTTTGTGTTCTCTCCCTTATGATGCATGAACTCTAGATACATTTGAGTGTATTTAAGAAAAATAGTTTTTTAAGCAACTGTTGCATTTTCTACTATGTTTTTTTTCCCTTTTGATTAGCGCTGTCTTTCTTTCTTTCTTTTTGTGGTTAGATAATAACTATTTTCCATTTATAGAATGAAAAAATCTTTTTTTTCTAGGAAGAAAAAAGAATATTCCAATTGTCATCATAACTTCAGTGCCCACTTTGGTTTGGTCGGGGAAGGGAAACACTTTTTTGGGATTCAAATGGTTGGTTTCATTTGGAATCTCTAGTGGTTCTCAATGATGAGGAAGCTGTGTCTTGTGGTATGATCACTGAGATTGAACGTGATGGGGGAACAAGGAGCATAAGTTCTGTCATCTTCAATAGTGTTGTACTTTTTTTTATCATTGTAATAATTTTCCATCATTTCGTGAAATTTATGTCTCTTGGGAGGTTCTTGATTTGTTTGATTTTGGAGCCTAATCCTTCGGGGAGTTTTCATTGAAGCCCATGCTAAGGTTTTATAACTTTTTGGCAAATGAAGCGTGGTATTCTTATCACCCTCCTAGTAAGAATCAGTGATTCAAAAAATCACCGCCGCCCCCCCTCCCTTTCTTTTTCGCTCTTCTCTTTTTTTTCTTGGTGGTTGAGATCCTAATGTGTGACATTCAAATGGTAAATACTGGATCACTATTGATGGAGTAATTTATATAGAATAGTGAAGAGGGTATCGCGGGAAAAAAGAAAAAGGCTCTGAAAATTTTGTGCATAAAATCAAAATTTGTTAACTGAAATTTTGTGCAAAAAATCAAAATTTGTAAACTGAAAATTTTGTGCAAAAAATCAAAATTTGTAAACTGAAAATTTTGTGCAAAAAATCAAAATTTGTAAACTGAAAATTTTGTGCAAAAAATTAAAATGTGTAAACTACAAGTTTCTCCCGGTTCCGCCGTGCTGTTTATGAAACCCGGAAGAGGTCCAAACATGTGAAATTCAAACCACATTTCGAGGTTTCTAAACTCGTGACGTGGCTATTGAAGGGTACCATATGCATGGATTCAATGCTGGAGTGCTAAATAAAGTGCGACAGTTTGTAAAAAGCATCTGATTCATGAAAGTCCTCATGGCTTTTGGCCTAAACATTGTCCATAAATTATTAGAAATTCTAGGACGGGAGAGGAAAGGGTTAATTGACCCATTTAGCAATATGTGGCCTTACAAATACCTGAAGCAATCTCTGTTGTTCAACCTTATACAATAATTAACATAAGTTGTATTGTATAACATAAGTTGTTCTTTTGGAAATATACTTAGATCTAAGCCATAGGGGGAATTATTTTTTTTTGCTTTTCCAAATTTTGTAGATGGCTTTATTACAATTAGATGAACAATGTTAAAAAAGGAAAAACTAATGTTGAGTTTGTAAAGGCCTAAATCTTAAAATTCACTTAATGGATGATATCGATTCACTGTTGGAGGGGGACTCATTTTGACCAAATCTAGACTTCAAATTGATTTTTTTTTCTAAAGATTGATTGTTGTTTCTTGGACTTTGATTAAGACTTAGCAGTTAGCACAATCAGGTCTTGTTTAAGCTTAGATGGTAGTGCACGGAGTCTAAATAGCTTGATCCAATCTAGCAAGACAATCAAGTCAGAAAAGTGTTGGGTAATTTGTTTAGGTGATATAAGGGAATTTAGTTATGTGGGTCAAAGATTCATCACCCAATTCTTTAGGATAAGTGAGCTTAATCAGATGTACCATTCATTCTATTTGGTACTTGTTCTCTCATAAGAATCCTAACCTTCTGTTGGTTTTTCCCATTAAAATCACAACTTATTTATATTCTGTATTATTTCTTTTACTTTCAGTCACTGGTCTCTTCAATTATAGTGCTGCCAGGCCTCTACTTATGTTTCTATCGGTGCACTATGCAACTAAACTGCTTCTTTCCAAAACTGTCTATTGGAATCTTGTACTGGATCTACTCCTCATTTTCCTAACCCATTATATGTGCAGCTAATTGTGTACAAATATCAATGTCTTTCTTGTCTTTCTTTATTTCATTTCACTAGTTCAAGGCTTTATTACCGATATGATTATTATCCAAAAAATTTATAATTGTACCTAATTTCCCCAGTTGCTGTTGGAAAACTGTCTATAGAGTTCCCAACTCTGTGAGGCTCTATCATGTTAAAGGAAGAAAATAGTGCAACTTTTCCTTCATCTCATTTTCCTTTTGTTTCTTTTAGTCATAGAACCTGAATTGAAAAGGTCTTGGCAAAAAAGAACCTTTCGAATGAAATTTACTCAACCAAAACAAGCTGTTGAAGAGATAAACAAGCCGTTGAAAATGGCCGAGGCATCTCTACTAGTTTGAAAGATCTAAATGGCCCCATATCTTACAAATGAACACAAGAATCATATAATCATATGTACATCTCATCCAATATTGGTTCTATAACCTTCCTGACTGAACCCCCGCCCACCTCCCAAAAAAATCAACCCAGTGAAAACTTTCACCTATTTTCTGCAAAATTGGCACTATTCCTCTACCCAAGAGGGACAGATTGAGACAAGAGCAATGACCATGATAGAGCTGATGGGACGATACTACATTCTTCTCTTGTATATCCTATTTGTACACTGGTAAAAGAACATATTGAATGAGAAGCATTCTCAGAAAAACTGTGAGAAGGATGATGATGTCCACCATCTATTAACTGTTTCAAAAGGTGGTAACCTCGACTGAGTCATAAACAAGGTTGTTAAACCTGGTTAAACTTTAATTAGATTCGATGGGTGGTGGAGATCATCCTCTTCATGGTTTTTTATATACAAAGCGTTCTTGTACAATACACTTGATGCTGCTAAAATGGAGGCATCACCCGAAGTAAGATGACTCATGGGGAATGACTCCCATCTCCCCAAGCACTTCAGCTGCCTTCTTTTTTAGGACATCATCCTCTTGGAGCAACTGTATGAGCACCCCTTGGCTCTTGGGGAAATGTCGGGCCCTTGCAACCTCAGAGTGCTTTAGGATCATGAGTAGAATATCCAATGCTTTATTCTTAGCCCCACTATCCCCCCTCTCAAGAATTGCCACAAGCCCTGGCACACCTTCTGATTCCACTATAGCGTCCACCGCCTTTACCAGGCTAACCTCCTCCTCACATAGAATCGAGCTCAGTGCTACCAAAGCAGCCTCGTGTGTACCACTCTTGGTCTCATGCATGGCCCCCACTAAAGGCCTTAGGGCACCTGCCCTAATGAGGCAGAACTGTTTCTTGGTCAAGCAAGGCTCCCCATGCACTGAGCAGGTTGAGTGTCGTCGTCGTGGTGTCAAAGGCGAGCAACACCACCCACCCATATTGGTTAACACTTTGGTGAGTTGGGTTGGACCCCAAGGTTGCACTTTGTTATCGATATTGATAGGTGAGGAGGTGGCTAATTGTGCCAGTCTAAGGGCTGCTCGTTCCTTGGCCAACAAACTTCCAGTTGATAGCACTCGAACAAGCATGGGAAGCATCTCAAGCTCACAAATATGTGAGCTTGTGTCGGTTCCTATAGGGAAGTGCGTAAGCATTGCTAGGGAATTCTCTAGGAGTTGTGGGGTTTCTGAGGGGGAGGTAGTGGTGCATATCACTTGGTGAATAGTTCTGAGGGCTCCGTACTTTTGGAGCATTTCCCCTATAGTCGGATCATCTTGGGCTACTCGTGCTATGACCGCAGCTGCCATGGACCTCCCTTCTTTATCTGTTGAGCTCGTGAAGATGGTCACTAGGGCATTGATCCCCTGTTCTTTGATAGGGTCGAGGAGGTCGATCTTACCCTCTAAATTGTGTTCAGTTACGCAATTCACGAGCTCCAGGGCATAGTGTCGGGTCTCTAAACGGTTGAGAGAGTAGAAGAGCAGTGAAAAGTTGGGACCAGATTGAAGAAGTTCGGTTAGGGTTTCGGATCTGGAGGCAAGACCTAGGAGGAGACGGAGGGACTGGGCTCGAGTTTGGCAGTTAGGTGATGCCACAAGGCCTAGTAAGAGAGAGAGGTTGTGAGAGCTATGTAATTGTTGGAGTTGCGGGTTGGGTTTTGCTTCAGGTAGGTGTGTGGTGGCCTCAACTAGGGTGGCTAGGGCTTCTACGGCAGCTTGTTTGGAGTCAGGGGTGGTACGTAGAGATGAGATGAGGTTGAGTATAGTTGGGATGGTGGGGCTGATGGTGAGGAGGAGGTTAGCAAGTTTGGGGAAGGTTGATAACTTCTTAATGCAGAGGAGAGGAGAGAGAGAACCAGTTGAGAGAACTTGCACGAGGCCCCGGAGGAAGTGCTTGTTGCTTAGGGCTTGTGCATTGTCTTCATTGAGTTGCATCTTGGCCAGGGCACCAGCCATTGAAACCCTGGCTTCGCTGGATCCTATGACAAAGATGGCAACATGGCTTCAGTGAACCTCAATGTTTTGAAAACTGGACACTCAACCAGAAAAGAGGTCAGTTTGGTCTTGTCCAGGGTGACGGCCTGTTTGAACCCGCAATGGCCGATATTATAAATTCAGAAGTTAAACAAAATTAGAAAAATTAGATAAACAAGGCCTCCTATGATGATTGCCACCACTAATGTAGCATTAGCAATTAGAATATGGAGGATTTGAAGAAACACATCCATAAACATATTTTCTATTCAAATGAGGTTTTTGGGCCTTTTGTAACCCACTCTCACTGAAGACTAAAGGGACTGTGCAATTCCAATAGAATGAGACCAACTGGTCTCATGTTTTTCTACGAGGACCAGAAGGTCTAATCTGTTTTTTCTGAGACAATGGAACTCGAGTTCCATTTTTGTTTTGTCTGTCTTCTAAATTTTCTTTACTTCAGGTTCCATTCAACCCCTTCCACATTGTGTGACGGATTGGATATAGGCCCACCATATATCACAGCAACATTCATGCTGGTCTCTATATGCCGGACTTCAACAAAATTGCAGGAGTGTTAAATTTGCAGCCTGATAAAATTTGAATCTCTGTGGTGTTCATGTACCCTATCGGCAAAATAAAGTTTTGGAGAGATTCCTAATTCTGAGAGTTTCTCTTCAGCTAAAACTATGATTTTAGATTCTTAGGATTAAATGTTGGCCTCAAATGGGCCTAAAGTCCTAAATTTCAAAACTGACTTTGAGTTTCACGTTTCATCACCTTGTAAGAATTGGCTGAGGAAGGGCTGGAAATATCCTGCCTCTGCCATCTTCACAACCGAATTGGGATCAGAAGAGAGGTTTCGAATCAATCTCTTGCTCTGTTCTGAGACATTTGCATTGAGGCTAAGGAGTAGGGAAACCGAGAGGGTTATGCAGTCTTTGGATTCACCTATCTTCTTCGCAATCTCAGCATTCTTTGAGAGCTCTAGCAACAGGTTTACTGCATCCTCGACTCCTTCGCAACGGTAAAGCTGCTTTGTGATAATCCGGATACCCCCTGCATTCACAATTGCCATCTGTGGCAACAGACACGATCATGAAGAGAGAGAGACATAGAGAGACCCACTGCCTGTGATCGGAGCTTGTGTGTGTGAGAGAGAGACCCGCTGCCTGTGATTGGAGCTTGTGTGTGCGAGAGAGAGACCTGTTGCCTATGTCTGAATCTGAGTGTCTGCGTATTAGGATTCGGTGTGTGACAGAGAGAGAGAGAGAGGGGTTCCATTTCTGTGTTAGGAATTGCGCTCCTCAAGAGGAGAATTGTATGAGAGAGAAAGAGAGAGAGATCCATTGCTGTGCTAGGAATTGTGTGTGTGTGAGAGAGAGAATACCTTGTTGTGGTCGGAATAGTTGGCAAGGTGGTACAGGCTTTTGAGAGCTGCCTTGTTGTTGACATTGACCTTCAGAGACTGAACTATATGGGGAATTTGGGCTTTGTCTGAGACTATGGCTCTGTGAAGAGGTGTCTCCAGGAGAGACTGGAGCTCCTGCAAGGCCTGGTTCACTTCTCGTACCTCATCGGAGACCAATTTCTGAAGGGCACTGTTGAGCTTGGTCTCAGTTTTTTCATGCTGCTGATCTTCCATGGAGTTCTGTGGAGAAATGGTAGTACTGGTGTCTATTATCTGGCCACAGAGAGAGAGAAGCAACAGACTACAATGAATGATATTTCTTAGGCTTTGAGAGATGAATGTATTCTTGAAGCTGAGGGAGGGAGGGAGAGAGAGAAGATTGTAATGACAAGAAGCAAGTTTGAGAGAGAGAGAGGGAGAGACAATTTGAACACTAAGAGGAAATTTCTGAGGCTAGAGAGAGAGAGAGATATGTAATTTTCAGAGAAATGAGGGGAAAGCACGCAAAAGGAGTTTGAGGGTTACAAGGAAAGCCTATGAAGTTGCATGGAATTTAGTGGAGGGGCGACTCTTCCATCTCCTCTCCTTTCCCTTGCTTTAAACATTTCCTTTTCCTGTCTACTTTAATGCGACATAGAAAACACTAACCGCGAAGGATCCACTCTTTCTTTCCCTCTCTAACCCCAAAGACTCGCCCACACGAGCTATTGAAGACCATTGCATGAAAAAATCTCAAGAAATTGTTAACCCCTAAAGACTCGCCCACGCGAGCTATTGAAGACCATTGCTTGAAAAATCTCAAGAAATTGTTAACTCGGTCGTTTTGTAGGGACGCTTATTCCGAGTCCGAACCGCTGGTTTGTTGTGATCCTTCTCAAACTGATATAAGAATGAAAACTGAAATTTTCAATAATAGTTTTATTTAGGTCAGTGAAAAAAGATCATTTATTGTAGTGCTAAGACTATGGTGCACTCCATGTAGTGTTCAATGACTCGGACAAGTCTACTCGACTCAAGGTATTGGGTGCCAGTTGGAGCGGAGCCAAGCATCTGTATAAAACTTGGGCTATTTAGAAAAAATGATAAATATAAATATATGTGGAAGCAATGTATAATAATGATGTGTCATTTTGATATTTTTTACAATGATTTGTGAGTTTTTTTGTCATATATATTTTTATATTTTTGTACGATAATTTTAATTATAAATCAGTTTTTTAATATATTTTGAGCTTATTTGCATTTTTTATTTTCTTGTTTTGTTTCCCTTTTACCATTTCTGTTTTATTTTTAAGATTTTTTAGTTTTGTTCATTTTTTTGGACCCGTACAAGACCAGCGGAAGCCAATAGAAATTGGCCTGTTGTGGCTACTTCGTGTAGAGTATAAAATCTCACCCGTCGGTGATATGCAATCAATTGTGGAGATCAGGTTCTACAGTGTCACTAGATCCCATAAGATAAATAAAGGTTTTCTTAGTTGAAGTTTTGGTGATCATATCTCACTTGTAGACTAATGTTAAAAAACGGACAAAATCTGACTTGGAGGCTGTTTAAACTTTGACTTAGTCATGGTTACTTAATTTGAGTCCAATAACTAAAGTAAAGGTGATTTTGGTAATTTTTCATGCGGGTTGGACCCCATTTCTACTTATGGGGTTCCAAAAGTGTAAAGCATTTAATCTTAAAGATAGATATAAATAGGTATTTCATCAAAAAACAATAGAAACTAATAATCCAGATGTTTTTTTATCATAATTATTATTTTTAATTTTTAAAATTTATTTATTTTTTATGTTCACTATCTCCATGTTAGAGATTACATGTGTTAAAAATTAAGTCTTAAATTCCATCTCAAAAATAAATTTATCCAAGTCCGCATTTCTATATATGCAGGGTTGGCCGCATAAAAACTGGGTCCTTTAGGTAATGACTGAAAAATATGAAGGGAAAGGTCAAGAGGGGGACATTTGGTTTTGACGTGTTTAACGTGGTGCGTTGAATTAGACCACATTTCCAAGGGAAGACTTTCTTAAGAAGAGAGAGAAGAGAGATACAGAGAGAGACTCGGGGGTTAATTAACTTGCTATAAAGTGACTTTAACAATATCAAAGAAATAAAGTCATTTGACAATTGACTTCGCCGAGTTTAATTGGAATTAATATAACAGAATCTATTTTTTGTTTTTGGGTGAATAAGTAGGGAGTGGTTAACATTTAAAAAAAAAACGGGTGAATCGTGGGGAGGTAAGATAGGGATTTCATATTGAAAAATCCTAGAATTACCTAGAAATGCCCGAGTCTCTCGGTTCTTTCACTCTCTGTTCTGTTGTCTTTCTCCTTCTTCCTTTTTTTTTATTAATTGTAGTTTGTTTTGAATTGAGAATTGTCCCATCTGGACTAGGAAAATCAGAACTAGACAATTGTTGAACTGGAGCTGAAATTTGATTATTGGATCATTGAGTTATAGGCTTACATTTTTTTTGTGAGAGGAGTTTATAAACAGACTGATGTTGCAAATTTTGATAAAAATGTGACGGGAGATAGAGTCACGAATTTAACATGTGGGAGAGGAGGTGCATAAATCATTTGTTGTCATTAGTAATCATGCCCTTTATTGAAGTGGTGTAATTTGCGATGCAGATTATGTCAGTCTATACCAAAGTTTTAAAAAAGGAAAATAGTTTGATAGGGTTGCAGCACTATCAAAATAATTAAGGCCTCACCTCATAACTCATCAAAAATTGCAATTCAAGTATTGGAAATCCTTTAAATCGATCATCTCAACTTGAATATTATGGTTGTGACAAAAAATTAAGATTTTAAGTTTTAAAAGTAGTGTAAATTGCAACAAATCATTTAAACTATCCCTTTTTCCCTAAAAATAAGTGTTAATAGATCCACAAGGTCTGTATTAATTTTTTACTTTTTAAATTTCATTGCGTGTGTTGAAAATTAATTTTAGCGCCTTGATGAGGATTTTTTATGCCCAAAATACTCTCCAGATGAGAATTTGAGGTTAGTCTTTACTTTAATTTTAAAAAGCGGCCCTATAAAAACCTCATCCTTTAAAAGGTGGGGATCTTAATTGGAATTTAAAGGTGGATAATATAAATTAATGGGCTTTCAAAGCTCTACTATTTTTAGTTACATTGTTGCTTTACCGCTTTACCTAGTTGTACTGGTCCAAATCACCCAACTCGGCCCATACGAATCGATTTATTGGTGGAGCGGATCCACAGCTCAGAATTGAATTATAGTCGATGTGTCTTGTCAATGGTCGCTGATGAGTCAATAATTAAGTCGTTTTCCGACCCTTTCAAAGATGCTTTTTGTGAGTTGTCAAGAAAACGTGTCCACAGTATGATAATGAAATTAAGAAATCTTAAAAGAAGTCCTCCGACATTAAACGCTTAAACTTTGTGTTTGAAACAATGTTTATGAACTCGGCTCTGGCTTAGGACTAGCCTTGGCCCGAGTTAGGTAATTTGGCCATGTCCTAGTAGACTTGGCTGAGTATAGTACATGCACCAAAAATCCTTACAAAATAAATAATTTATTAAAAAGAAAATTCAAATTGTATAAGTGAAGCAGGAGTAAAAATAGTATGAAAAGTCCAATTAAGCTAAAACTAAAAGATGCGGTTGTAAATTTAAACAATTCAATTAAGGCGCACTTCCAAATTTTATTTTTGGTGTAAAAATTATTAGGATTATCTGTAAATCCATTTTCATATCTAAGTATAAAATTTTAAACTCCAAAAATGGTTAAAATTAAGTAGATCTATATGAATATGAAAATTTTGGAAATGGATGATCTAGATAATGTGTTTTAAGATGTACTATTTCTAAAACTCAAAATCTTCTTCTTTTTTCATATTCATATATGTCGATTGGAGATAATCAATTAGATGGTTTTTTAATGTTAAAACAATATTTTTTGAAAGATTTTTTAGGTACATTTTTATTCTACATTTTAAGGTTGCAACCTTATAAAACGTTTTTCAAAACAAAATATAAAACATGGAATAAGGAAACACCGGTTTATGGTAGGAGATATTTTAGAAAATTTTAAAAAGAAAAAATATAAAAATATGACATGACAATAAATACTTATAAATTATTGTAAAAACAATCTAAATTGTATATATAATTTTTGGGATTCTATTCAATGAGACCATTTTTCTTTATTATAAGGAGATCACAATCATTCATATTCATTAGATATCAATTTGGATGGTTTAGCTTAGTCACAAAGTCTAATAAATTTTTTTTGAACTTTGAGTCTTTTTAATCACACTTACAAT